CCAAAAAATGTACATTGAATATACTTAATAAAACTAGAATGTCTGCCAGATCAATCCTCGGGATCAGATTCGAGTGGCTCAACGTCCACTTGCTCGTAGGGAATTGGCAAGGCCAATGTAACTCCAGCGGCAGCAAGGGCTTTGAGCCACCCATGTTTGAACCCCCGATTCTCGAATTTGGGGACTTCATCTACATATTCCGTGTAGGCGGCCCTTTTTCCTTCCTCAAATGCCGCAGAAGCCTCAGAATCGGCTTTTTTCTTGGCCACATTGAGCTCCTCTAACTGAACATTCACCTCAGCAAGCGCCTTCTTGGCTAACTTAAGCGATTCTTCGCTCGCATTTGCCCTACTCTCAGCATCAAAGCGGAGCTGTTCAGCTGAGCGAGCCCTCTCCTCCTCTGCTTCAGCTCGCGCACTCTCCATTGCGGCTCTCATCACTTCGAACTCGGCCCTACTCTTTTGACCGTCCACCTCCGTTTGCAAACAACCAATCCTGCCAAGGGCATCATGCAGGCGGTGGCCTAGGTCTGCGATCCTGCCAACTGTTTGCAAAACAAGTCGGGATCGTCAGATACCTTAATGAAAGCAAATTCAAGATAATTTGAGATGGTCACTTACCAGGAGCACCGACTGCGCAGATAGGGCTACGGCCATAACATCCGGCACTGTGCGAAAGGCTGCGGTGTCAGCCGGCAAGGAAATTGAAGCCGTCAGGCTCAACGCCATGACTGGATCCTCAATGGCTGAAGCGTCAGAAGGGATCGGCATATCTTTGATCTTTGGCCGAACAATAAGGAGCAACCACGTCCGGCTCTTCTAAACGAGGCCATTTGGAAGCAGGGCTAATCTCCGACCCAGCCTCTCCTTCACCACTACACTTTTTGCCCCACTCCTCCGGAATCAGACGTTCGTCAATGACATGTTCAACCTTTTTCCCCGCATCGGCCGCAGCAATCTGAGCCATCTCTTCAATAACGGGTATGAAAGTTTTAATCAAGGTGGTCTCAGAATGGGCGGCCTCGGCCTTCTTTCGAGCAGCCATTCGCTCGACATTTTTCTTTTGCGCCATCTGCGTAAGGCTTTCCCCAGCCATACCTTCGGAAAAATCGCCTGGTAGGTCTCCCAAATTCGCAAAAATATCTCTAGAAGAAAACTCTGTCCGACCCGAAGTGGACGGTAAAGGCTGGTTAAGTCCGGCAGCCTCGAACGCCAAGCGTATCGCCTCGTCGACCTCTTCGACCTCCTCAGCGACCTCTCTGGTTGGTTCGGCAACTACCTCTACCACCGGCTTCGCATCTTCCCCCGAATTCGAATCTTCGAGGCCAATTTGCCTAAGGCTCTTGAAGCTGGGAAAGAAAAGAGCCGAAAAGTGTTGATCGCCAGATGGAATTGGAATGCCGTCCGCGGCCGAGAATGTAGTATACGTAGGTTCGTATCGGAGGAGTATATGAGCAGCTCTCCCTTGCTTTTGTATGTTTGGACGGCCGAAATATCTAAGTGCAGACTTAATTTCCTCAAGGACTACGTCGTCAGTTGAGGGAAGAATCTTCTTCAATCTGTTACCTGCAAAGAACAAGGGGTGATTAAAGGAAAAAAGCCGAATAAAAGGCAGATCAACAAACACGAGGCGTTACATGGCAACCTGGATCACCCTTCCGTCTGGGAATAGGGTCTAGACAGTCTTCACCTTCGCCAAACTCCCAATTACCTCAGACATTGACCATTTCGTCGTCAACTCTCTTACCAGAACTGGCAAGCATGGTTATCAAGTGATGGTCAGTGTCCTTGGCCCTGAGAAAGTATCGCCCCAACCAACCGGAAGATTTGGCCAAAGCGTAGCAGTGCCGAATCGCCGGAATGCCAAGGTTGATCTTAAGGCGTCGGTTCAACTCTATCACCTCCATAATGATTCAAAAGAAATTTACGTTGGGTTGAGAAGGAATCAGACTCCAATAGCGAAGGACGGCCCTAAGCAATGGATGTAGAGGAAAACAGACTCCGCCCTCCGCTATGGATAAGAGAGGGAAGACGATCGTATTTTGATCCTCCCTCTCCATATCGAGAGTACTGTCCATTACAAGAGATAAGTGGACGTCGTCGGGAATGGAAAAGTGTCATCGGAATCTGGAAATACGACCCTCAGAAATGAGGTCTTTCAAGTGTTTAGCCATTTTCGCGGGGATCCAAGGTTCCGTCGAAATCAAAATGACAAACAGAAAATAGGGTTGCAAAGAAGAGAGAAGAAGACTTACGAGTAGACGGGGCAAGGATAGACGGAGAAGAATTGCAGAAAACGTGAGTCAGAGAAGGGTTGCCCGCTGGCGGTCCAAGAGTCTCGAATACTCGACAAAATGTGCACTCGAAAGGACTGAAATTTCAAATCGCAATAAATACGAGATGCACGAATGAGGCGGGAAAGTGTAATGATGACCAAAAAGGTGTGCGCGTTCTGACATCCACATTGGGGCATGCGATGCCGCCTGACCTATTTTGACTTTTCCAATTCAAGACCAAACATGCCGATTAACTACCGTCAATGGGGAGTTCGGGGGGCAATTGTGGGAGCCGAATAATGGCAAAATCAGAAGGTGCGTATCTTAGAAGACTGATATTAATCAGCTGTATCCTACGAGAATGGGAAGCCGAATGCAATACATGTGCCGAATAAGTGTAGATCCTTGCTTGCTTGGTACCTATATATTGATTAGTGTTTTGGGCTTTGCTAATTAATGAGTCCGTGGCGACCCCATCGGTTGTGTAAGGGTAGTGCTCGTATTGTGATTGGCTATGAATTGTTGGTTATGGTTGGTGAGTGGATTCTGGCAGCGTTCTTGAGAGGAAGAACAAGTTGTGTTCTAGGGTGACGAGAATAGCGTCAGTCAAACTATCCTTCGTGATTGGGTTGTTGTAATTGAGGTTGACCATGTCGGTCTTCGGTCGAGGAGATGAGCAGTCTTGCTATGTAGCCATGAGAGAGGGGGGATAGTAATTCCCTTAGACACCGTGTTGATGTGGTTTGATTTTAGGAGGCCCGTTGAGATTCCAATATTTTGGGTTGTGTGGGGAACTCCGTATTTGGGGTTAGTGGCACTTCAGTGTGTGGTTTACTGAGAGTGGTGGTTTGTTAAGTTGATTAGCCAGCTTTTGATATGGGGTTTTGGGTTGGCATCGGTCACCTTGAGGTTAGTCTCATTTGTTGTAGACTGTATGTTGATTAAGGAAAACTGAAACTAATCGAACATGTTATGTCATAGAGTGTGACGGTTGATAGAATACATTAATGTTATGTATTGATTGATTGATTGTGTATATGATCTTTATGTATATACATTGTTTGTGTATGGGAGGAGATGGGGGATGTACTCCACGGTTTAGGGGAAGATGGGGGATGTACCTCTAAACCGGTTAATGGTTAAAGGAAAATGGGGGATGGACCCAGGGAGGTAGCTCCTATGCTCTCCCATTGTAGTGATGATACAGCTCATATGCTTATCTATTGGAATGTTGATATAGCTCATATGCTTGTCTTTGGAAGTGTTGATATAGCTAATATGCATATATGTTGAAATGTGAATACGGCTTGTATGTTTTTCTGTTGAGATGTTGATGCAACTAGTATGTTTATCTGTCGTAAAATGGGGAATGTTCAATATGAGTCATTGTCACATATAAGTGGTCGGCCAGGTTCTGAGCCATGTTTATGATTTTTAAATTGGTTAAGTTAATGGAGGCGGAATGAAATTGCAAAACCATGAATTTCTTATGCCTTATGTGTTGATAGTGTTTTTCTTTGGAAAGGAATGGAAAATAAAATTTTTCTAGTGGTTGGGCCATCTAAAGGCGTTGTTGAGAAATTGATTTCATTCAAGGGTTTTGAGGAATTCCAAATAAATCTTTTTGGCAAATAAACTGTGGGTGGTTATGTGTTTTGGATAACACCGTATTTGTGAAAAATGTTTTCAAGACTTTTGAGTTTTGCGTCGAAAATGCAAGGTTTATTTTGAAATGTTTCATGAGTAAGAAAATGTTTTCCTTATATTAATGTAGAAGATTTTCCTTGATTATCCTTTTATTGGAAATTCTGGTTGTTGAGTAGTGACTTAGCTTGAAGCGCTAGTCGGTTGTTGGTAAATTGTTTCGGGAAGGGTTTGGTTCTGTTGTAGCGTTTGTGCCCGAGTGTTGTCGTTTGGGGCGTGTTCCCTTGGTTAGTCTCTTCCTTGGTAAGAGTGAATCGAAGGTTCGTAGGGAGAATAATTCCTCTCCTAGTACTCGGGTGTTGGTGTTGTGCAATCTGTTGGCCTTGTGTTTTGGCATATCCTTAATTTCAGGGACGAATTTAAGGGGGGGAGGTTATAGCGATCCCGGTTATCCCTTTTCTGTTATGTTGTTTCCCGGACACAGTTCCGTGGAGTTGCTAGTTGTACCTATCGTGTTGTCAACCTTTAAACTCTTTTGTTTGAGTTTTAGAACGAGTTGGGCTCGGTTGTTTCAGGTTGGTAGAGCTTTAGCTCCCATTGTTGTTGCCCAGTTTTTGAACGGTCTGCTCGAGCGGGTCTTCTTGCGCTCGAGCGGGGTTTTCACAGTTTCAGTATTTCGTGCCTCTGCAAAATTTCTGCAGACGTGTTTTCTACGCTCGAGCTGATTTCTTGTGCTTGAGCGGGTCACGCTCGAGCGGGCTTGTTAGCGCTCGAGCGGGTTGTACTTTGTGGTGTAAGTTCTGGGAGGGAGAAATCTACGCTCGAGCGGATGTACTTTGTTCTTGTGTCTTGGCGCTCGAGCAGGCCTTCTTGTGCTCGAGCGTACCTAGCTTTTTGCCCTTGACGCTCGAGCGTTGTGTTCTCCACTTGAGCGAGAGAGTCGTATATCAGTTGACAGCTAGGCTATTTTAAATTACTTTTTACATTTCCTTTCTCTCTCTTACTTTCCCAAAACCGATTTTGAGAACTCTTCACTCTAAAACCTAACTTCTCTCTAGGGTTTGATCTAGTGGGAGTGTTTTCCTCACCTTGAGCCTTTGTAAAATGTGTGTTGATCGTCGAGGGCTTCGTTTTGATCCGGAAATTTTGAGATTTGGAGCAACTTAGAGATTCTTCATCTTCTCCATTTGAGCTCCGAATTTGAGGTAGGGATTGTACTTTTTCAATACTCCGTCTATAGATAGACATGAGGTAGTTTTTGTATTGCATGAAAATGAAATCATGTTGGATTTGTTGAAAATCATGAGGTTGTACCTTGGGTTGGTTGTTGAATTTGGGTCTATTATCATTAGTTGTGGATTGGGCTAATTAGAGTGTTAATTAGCATGTTGTTGTTGAAAGGAGAGGGAACCCTTATTTTTATTAGACCTAATAAATTAATAAGAGGGGTTTTGATCTTTGGGCAAGCACATATATATTTTGGGTCTTAAATGAGGTCATGGTTGTGTGTTGTAGTTGATTGAGCCTTTTTGGTCAATATTGGGAAAGAGGGAGGAAGACCCTAATTTAAGGGTTATGACTTAATTTGCATAATTAATTTGGAATGGCTTTGGAAAGAATGTAGTGGATTAAAATAAGTTATGGCGTTATCGTCCATGGAATTGATTTTTGTGAAAACAAAAAGGAATGGGATCGGTTTTGTGGAAACAAAAGGGATGAAGTTAGTTTTATGAAAGCAAAACGAAGTGGAAACTCGTCTTGTGAAATGGGAAAGGTATTTTCTAAAATAAGTATAAACATTGAAATGTT